GAACCTTGTTTTGGGCCCCTTTTTTTTTTTAAGTTTTTTTTTTTTTTTTTTTTGCTATAGAACACCCCAGGGGGATGGTCATACTGCAGTCCTTACTCCTCCGTTCTTGTCAGGATTTTGGGGTGCTCTGGGTCTAGGAATCAAATTGTGCAGTTGGCCAAGTGGGAACTAGCCACCTTACCCTCCATGCCACTGGCTCTCCCAGTTAAGTCTGAGGAATGTTCATTATGGTTTTTGTATATCTGGTGAGGAAGAAAAGAGTTTTTTGAACCTGTGGGATAATAGTCCTCATTTATCAGTCATCTGGTAATTATCACACAATATTAGGAATGTATATAATGCAAACTGTATAACATAAACTTTTCTATTGGTTCATCAGAAATGTCATGATGCATTTTTGCATAGAAAAATACATCATGACTTTTCCAACGAAAAAGGTGGTGTGGAGATTATGGCGCTGGTTCCCATATGGCTGCCTACACAGTTCAAGTGTCAGATCCGGTGACTTGAAAATCACACCAGGTATGGGACCAGCAGTTAGCGTAATGGCTGTCACTGGACTCCCATGTAGTTGACCACGGTTCAAGTCCCAGACCCAGTGGCTTAAGCTCATGCCAGGCGCGTGTACGTGCGTTCCCAAGATCCCGAGAGGAGAATGGAGGAGAAGGGATCGAGTGTGGTCATCCCCCCTGGGAGGTGATTTCTTGCTTTCTGTCTCTCTGTCTCTCTCTGTCTTTCTGGCAAGCACACACGCCCTATAGCGAAAACCTCTCCAAAAAAAAAAAAAAAAAATCACACCAGGTGCATGTGTGTGTATGCATGCCCAAGATCCTGAGAGGAGGATGAAGGAATAAGAATTGGAGCATAGCCATCTGCCTATGGGATGATTTCTCATTTTCCCTCCCTCTTTCTGTCTTCAACAAGTGAACATTCCTTATAACAAAAATCTTGAAATATCCCTGGAGGATTTCTTTGCTGAGGCCAGAAGTACATCATCAGTAGTCTGAGTATCTCACAAACTTAATCCCTGCCCTACTGTACATGCTTATAATTTTAAGTTCTATATATTCTCCAGGACCGACCCTGTGGCCCAACATTTATGGGAGCCACATCCCACATATCTGACTGCACGGTTCAAATCCTGGCCCCTGAAGACTTAAAACATATGCTGGGCATGTGTTCATGTGTGTCCAAAATCCTAACAGGACAGAGAAATCAATGAGAAAGGGTTATAGTCTGATTATGCCCCATGTGGGGAGAGCACTGCCCTCTTTCCATCTCTCTCTGGCATGCACACATGCCCTCTGGCAAACAAAATAGAGACCGACATGTTTTCTAGAGCCTTGGGACTAGGACTCCTTACACATCCCTGGTTCCATGTCATCTACCAAAACCAGTGGAGCAGTTCTTAAAGAAGGGACTCACTGGCCAGCTGATATGTACGGTCAACCACACAGCTTGATTCCAGGACATAACAGTTTGAAGAACACACCAAGTGCAGGTGTATATGTGCCCAAAGTCCCAAGAGGAAAATGGAGAATGGATTACAGTTTGGCTATTCCCCTGGGGAGAGGGGTGCTTTTTCACTCCCCGACTTGTTTCTCTCTCTGTCTCTTTGGTTAGTGCCATATACTCTCTAGTAAACATAAAAAAAGAAACAGAAAACACACAAGGATTCTTGGCTCCCCTTCTCAGAGACACTCTAAGTCTATTCTTACGAGTAAGTAAAAGTTTTCTCTACCTAGTTTGTAAAGTATTTCCAACAAAGCTGTCTAAAAAGTATATTTCTGCCATGCCATTGCTACTTTTCGTTGCCTTTCATGGTGGAATCTTAAGCATTCCTTGGAAAGTGCTGCTGGGTTTGTCCTGCCCTTAATGACTGTCTAATGAACCTAGACACCTTGGTGGGACTGCTAACAGGCTACGTAGCAAGCCTCCTGGAAAGCCCCTGTGCAGTTGCTGCTTGCTTCTTCCTGTGGTATGCATCTCCCCACTAGTTAATGTCTTTGCAGCATGTACCTGGAAGACATTCCTGTTGACATTAGCTAACATAATTGTACATCTCCATGATTAGACATAGATTCTTTGTTCAGAATTTAGCCCACTTTTCCACATATGTAATTAACCTTCCTCTACTATAAAGAACCATTGTACTTCCAGACAGTAATCCAGACAGTTTAAAGGAATGCTCTTCTTTTCCAGTCAAAAGAAAGCCCTCTTCAGTAAAACCTAGTCTTTCTGACAGCTTTCCCTTTCTCCAATATTCAGCCTCCCCTCACCCACAGCAGCCTAGAGAACTGTTTCTAATGATTTTGAAAAGATAATTTTCTTTTCTAGTACAGAAAAATACCCCAAACACATTTTCTTTAATATGTGTCTTTTATTTACTATTGTTGGATTAATATTGGGTTGCTGGGAAAAGTGACATATTTTTGCATAGAAAAACAGAAAAATATGTCATGACTTTCTCAGTGACCTAATACTATTTGGTAATTTAGTTGCAGTCATGATAAAGACATCTTACCTTTTATGTTTATATCCCAAGCATTATTATTATGACTTAGCGTGACTGGGTCTCACTTCCACATCTTCATCTGCATCTCAATGTCTCCTCTAAATGTCAATCTTGTATTTCCAGTTGTCTGTCATATATTTCCACTTGGAAATCTCACAGCCACTTCAAGTTCAACAGAGAGGGAGAGAGAGAATATTACAACCCCACCCTCAGTGGGGCATAGTCATGCCGCAATCCCTTTTCTCCCATTTGGGCACTTGTGCACATGTCCCCAACATCTTTTTCAAGACTCCAGGGACTGGGATTTGAATCATGTGGTCGGCCATGTGGGGTCCAGCTGCCATCAGGTCACAGAAATGGTCCCAAATGATGATATGTGTAGAGCAATTAGCATAATTTTGGACATTTGCTCAGAAATTTGTAAGCGTTAAATAATATTAATACTTCTATGTTTAGTTAGTATCAAAGGGCTAGATGTTGCCTTTAAACTGTATTAAAATTGTACTGAATATATGGTGTCATAATCTGAGGAATTTGTCTTCCAAGGAAGAAAAACTCCAAATCGTTGACATTTTCTGAAGAGTTCTTAACAAATCTTTAACATGAAATAGTGGAAAATCCCTTTAGGATAGTAGTTCTCATGCATGTATTGTTTAAGTTTTTTCTACCCACTATGTACATTAGACACATCTCAAGGTGACTGCTGCTGTGATTGGGAAGAAATGAGATGATCTGTGTAGAACGGTGGCATTTGGGGGGCCAGCAGATGGCATAGTGGTTACGTCACTCGACTCCCACATGGCTGACTACGGTTATGAATCCCAGAACTGGTGATTTGAAAATTATGCTGGACGCATGTGCTTGCGTCCCAAGATCCTAGAAGGAGAAGGGATTGTGGCCTGACCATCCCCACTGGGAGTGATTTCTCGCTTTTCCTCTCACTATCTCTCTAGTCAGTGCACAAACTCTATGACAGAAACCTCTTAAAAAAAAAAAGTGGCATTTTTAACAGAGTAGATTTTTAAAGGAGAGCCTGCGATCAATAACTAAAATATCCAAAGAGAAAAGAAATGGGAAAGAAATGAACAGGCCAGCCAAAAAATGGAACAGTCCAAATGTCCATCAGCTAGTGAATGGACAAACAAAATGTGGCATATAGATACTGTGGAATATTTAGCCAGTAAAGCCATTAAAGGAATTAAGTACTCATATGTACTATAACATGAATACCTTGAAAACATTACGCTCAGGGAGTAGTCACAGAAGACCAATGATTCTGTGAACTGTCCAAAGTAGACTGATCCACAGAGGTAGAGTGTATTAAGTGGTTGCCTGGGACTCAGAAGAGTGCTAAGTGGTACAGGGCTCTTTTTGGTATGATGTAAATGTTCTAAAGTGAAACTGTAGTGATTGCTCAACTTCATGAGTGTATGAAAACCCACCGAATTGTATATTTTAAAGGGTGACGTTTATGAGCAGTGAATTATGTCTTAAAACTGTTATGCGCCACCAGCATCTACATAAGGGTCTGGCTAGGGAAGTGATAGCTTAGAAATTCAGAAAGCAGGTTTCAACAAGATCTCTGTAATCTGCAGAATCAGATATGAGTGTTGGGGTACAGTCAAAAAATTATTCCCTCTTAGCCCAGCCACAGTGGCACACAGGTAGCATCACTGCATGGGAGGCCGGAAGCTGCTTTCAAGGCACGAGTTCAGTTCCTGGACCATCCAGAACACATCTGCCTGTGGTTTCTGTGCCTGTAATCCCAGCTGATTGGGAAACTGGGGCAGAAGGATCACCATATAGCAAACCCTGTCAAAAATAAATATATCCTCTTTGACACATTTTATGCCTGAACTGTATATTGTTTTTATTCTATTATTTTAGTAGTAGTTATTTCTTTCTTGAATTCGAGAGGGTTTTCCCACTTGTTATTGAATGTAGCAATCATTCTGGAAGCATTGTTTAGGAAATAGGGAACTTTCACTAGGCCAGGAAAATAGGGCCCTTCTTTGGGATCAAAATACATAATGGATCGGGGCCAGCAGATGGTGTGGTGGTTAAGAGCACTGGACTTCCACGTGGCCAACCATGGGCCTAGTGGCTTGCTTTCTCACTTTTCCTCTTTCTCTTTCTCTCTCCTCTCTCTATCCCTCTCTAGTCAAATTTAAATAAATAAATAAATAAAGTTCAATAAAAGAATTCTTTAAAAAATACATAATGGATCTGTATTGTGTTTTTGTTTGTTTGTTTTACAGAGATTTCTGCTATCGCTGCAAGTGCTCACCAGAGAGACGTAGAGACAGAAAGTGAGAATTCATGCCCTGGAGGGATAGCCATGCCACAATCCCTTCTCCTCTCTCCTCTCTGGATTTTGGGTATGCACACACACACGCCTGGCATGAATTTGAAGCTGCCAGGTTTGGGACTTGAACCATGGTCAACTATTCTGGAGTCCAGCAACATAACAATTAGGCCATCTGCTGCTCCCTGGATCTGTGTTTTAATACCAGTGACCTTGGGGCTGGCCCTGTTGCCTAGTGGTTAAGAGAGTCAGAACCGACATGGCTCACTCTGGTTTGAATCCCAACCCCAGTGGCTTGAAAAACATGTTAGGCTTTGTGTGAAAAACATGTGAGGCTTTGTGTGTGTGTGTGTGTGTGTGTGTGTGTGTGTGTGTGTGAGTGTGTGTGTGCATGCATGCATGTGTGTATACATGTGCCTATCCAAAATCCCAACAAGATAGAGAAAAGGAAGAGAAGCATGACCACACTCCAATGAGGGTACTTTCTCACTTTCTCTCCGTTAACTCTGTTGAGTGCATATGCTCTCTGGCCAATAAAAAAGATTCTGCATTTTCTTGTGTATGTAACTTTGTCTTTGTAATACTTTTGTCTCAACTGTTATCTAAATCCTCCTTCATCTCTCACCTTTGGCCCTCAAGGCCTTTCTTGTCTTTGCCACTGTCTATATGTTAATTTATCTGTCTTTTCACTCACCTTTTTTTTTTTTTCAGTCCATTTCATAGACCCTTATTATCTTAGACCTCAGCTGCTGCAACAGTGCTTTTTAGACTTGTCTTGAAAAGTATTTTCAGTTCATGTTTTGCAGAAAACACTCCCAGGGAAAATATTGCTTTTCTTCCTTTTTAAATAACTATTTTATTTAACTTTATTTACTTACTTATTTTAATTTGACCAGAGAGGGACAAAGTTGGGGGAGGGGCAAGAAAGCAATCAGCCAGGTCCAAGAGTGAAACTCGGTCATCCACGTGGGAGTCTTACCACGTCACCTGCCAACCTGAGAAAATACTGCTTCTGATGCCGTGTATCTCTCCAAGACTTAGAGAGACAGTTACTCTTTCAAGGTTAACAAAATCCAGGCTTTCAGGTTGGCCTTCAGGGTCCTCTCTTACTATACTTTACATTGTTACTGATTTTTTTTGGCTACTCTGTCCCACCAATTTGATATGTGTTAATAGTACATTGTTGCCTTTATGCTAGCTTCTTTTTCTTTATTTATTTTAATTTTTCTAGGATGTTTGTGCTCACTGGAGAGAGGCAGAGAAAGAGAAGGATAGGGAAAGTGAGAAATTCCCCCCACGAGGATGATCACCCCACAATCCCTTCTAATCTGTTCTCCTTTTAGGATTTTGGCACACACACACGTTTTTCTTATTTTTAAAAAATAATTATTTAATTTTATTTATTATTATTGCTATTATTATCTTTAATTTGACCAGAGAGAGGGGGAAAGTGAGAAAGCAAGCCTCCAGATCCAGCACTTGAACCATGGTTGACCATGTGGGAATCCAGTACCTTAACTGCCATGCCACCTGCTGATTCCACTCACGTGGTTTTCTTTATTTTTTTTTTTAGAGGAATTTTTTGCATGTACTCACCAGAGAGACAGAAAGAGAAAAGAAAGAAATCACCCCTCCCCGGGACAGATGGCCACACTGCAAGCCCTTCTCCTTCATTCTCCTCTCAGGACTTTGGGCATGCATGCACATGACCTAATGTGTTTCAGATATCTGGGTATGGGACATGAACCATGGTCATCCATGTGGAAGTCCAGCACCTTAACTAGTACACTAGCACTTGGCCCCACGTGTGTTTTTCAAGCTACAGTGTCCAAGACTCAAACCATGCATTTGACCGTCAGGGATGTACCTGCCTTAACCACCATGCCATCGCCTGTTCTGTGCTTTCTCAGCCTAGACCATATTAAAGAACCTTCTCAAAAATTTGTTCTACTCAGTATGACTGTGTTCACAAAATTTTCCATTCCAGTAATTCCTTGACTCTTAAACACCTAAATACTTTCTATATCAATTCAAAGTCTACTGTACTTTATGAACATTGTATTTTCTTCTGACTTTCTTATAGCTTCTTCAAGGTTACTAAAGCTCTGATTTTCTTTTACTCCCACTGAACTTTTATTGAATGTTTATTTTCTCATTTAAATAAAAGAGTAGGTTTGTATTGGTGTTGGCGTTCTTAGTTTTGTAGGAATTGTTGGTTTTTTAGAGTATCTGGCAGTAACAAATCAAGTGTGTTTAAAATCACTGGTATAAAAATGTGTTGATATTAATAATAATCACTATCATTGATTAAATGCTTACCATTTAGGAGACACAGTGGCATTAACTCCTTTTACCCTAACCCTGTCCTTATTTGAAGGAGATTGTGGCGCAGAGAAGATGATACGTACTGAAGGTTACATAGTGAGTGACAGTGCCAGAATTCAAACTTCGCTTTATTGCCCACGGTCATTACCATGTCTCCATATTGCCGCTCAAGTTGAACTACATATCCTGTAAACATACTTAGAATTCAGCAATTAAAATTTAAGATATTTTAAAATAACTCCTGCT